CCCGTCAACAGAGAAGGGAACAGAGCCCCCTCCGAAAAAAAAGATACACATACACATATACACATTATGTATATACACAAGGTATGTTACACACACGTGTGTATGCATATACACATGTGCACACACACAGACATGTAATTACCTAAGTGTAATTACCTAAGTGTAGTTACAGGATGAGAGCTACGCTCGTGGTGTCCCGTCTTCCCAGCACTCTTTGTCATATAACGCTTTGAAACTACTGACGGTCTTGGCCTCCACCACCTTCTCACTTAACTTGTTCCAACCGTCTACCACTCTATTTGCGAAGGTGAATTTTCTTATATTTCTTCGGCATCTGTGTTTAGCTAGTTTAAATCTATGACCTCTTGTTCTTGAAGTGCCAGGTCTCAGGAATCCTTCCCTGTCGATTTTATCAATTCCTGTTACTATTTTGTACGTAGTGATCATATCACCTCTTTTTCTTCTGTCTTCTAGTTTTGGCATGTTTAATGCTTTCAACCTCTCCTCGTAGCTCTTGCCCTTCAGTTCTGGGAGCCACTTCGTAGCATGTCTTTGCACCTTTTCCAGCTTGTTGATGTGCTTCTTAAGATATGGGCACCACACAACAACTGCATATTCTAGCTTTGGCCTAACAAAAGTCATGAACAATTTCTTTAGTATATCGCCATCCATGTATTTAAATGCAATTCTGAAGTTAGAAAGCATCGCATAGGCTCCTTGCACAATATTCTTTATGTGGTCCTCAGGTGATAGTTTTCTATCTAGAACCACCCCTAGATCTTTTTCTTTATCAGAATTCTTTAAAGATTTCTCACATAATATATAGGTTGTATGGGGTCTATGTTCTCCTATTCCACATTCCATAACATGACATTTATTAACATTAAATTCCATTTGCCAGGTGGTGCTCCATATACTTATTTTGTCCAGGTCTTCTTGAAGGGCATGACAATCATCTAAATTTCTTATCGTTCCTATTATCTTAGCATCATCAGCAAACATGTTCATATAATTCTGTATACCAACTGGTAGATCATTTATGTACACAATAAACATCACTGGTGCAAGAACTGAACCCTGTGGTACTCCACTTGTGACATTTCTCCATTCCGATACATTGCCTCTGATTACTGCCCTCATTTTTCTATCAGTCAGAAAATTTTTCATCCATGATAGAAGCTTACCTGTCACCCCTCCAATATTTTCCAGTTTCCAGAACAACCTCTTATGTGGAACTCTGTCGAAAGCCTTTTTTAGGTCCAGATAGATGCAGTCAACCCAGCCATCTCTTTCCTGTAATATCTCTGTGGCCCGATCATAGAAACTGAGTAAATTCGATACACAGGATCTTCCTGATCGAAAACCATACTGTCTGTCTGATATTATATCATTTCTCTCCAGGTGTTCTACCCATTTAGTTTTGATTAGCTTTTCCAATACTTTCACTATTACACTTGTCAATGATACAGGTCTATAATTGAGGGGGTCTTCCCTGCTGCCACTTTTGTAGATTGGAACTATGTTAGCCTGTTTCCACACGTCTGCTACGATTCCTGTACCCAGGGATGCCTGAAAGATCAGGTGAAGTGGAATGCTGAGCTCAGATGCACATTCTCTCAGAACCCATGGTGAAACGCCATCTGGGCCAGCTGCTTTGTTCCTCCCGAGCTCCTTTAGCATATTTTCCACTTCATCTCTAGACACCTCTATCCGCTCTATGTTGTTCTCTGGAATTCTTATTGTGTCTGGTTCTCTGAAGATTTCATTTTGTACAAACACACTTTGGAACTTTTCATTTAATGTTTCACACATTTCCTTTTCATTTTCCGTGAATCTGTTTCCCATTTTCAACCTCTGGATATTATCCTTTACCTGCAATTTGTTGTTTATGAATTTGTAGAATAGGCCCGGTTCTGTTTTACATTTACAGTATCTGCTATCCCTTTTTCAAAATTTCTTTCTGCCTCTCTCCTTACTGCTGTATAGTTGTTTCTCGCATCTTTGTATCGCTGGTATGTTTGGGGGTTTGGCCTCTTCCTATACTGATTCCATTTTTGTGTCTTTTGGTCTCTTGCCCTCTCACAATTTCTGTCGAACCAATCCTGTTTTCTGGTCCTGCATCTCTGTTTTGGTATGAATGTTTGTGTGCCTTCCTCGTATAGTTTTAAAAATTTGGCATACATTTCATTTACTTCCCTGCCTACCAACAATTCTGTCCAATTACACTCATTAAAAAAATTTCGAAGTTCCCCATAGTTGCCTCTCTTTAAATCGAGTTTATCAACTGTTTCAATGTCCCCATATTCTTCTAGATGATATCTTAAAGCATATTTAATGTCTAACAGGACGTGATCACTCTTTCCCAAGGGAGGAAGGTACTGGATGTCAAAAATCTCTTCTTCTTTCCTGGTGAATACTAGATCCAGTACTGACGGTACATCTCCTTCCCTCATTCTTGTGGCTTGCTTTATGTGTTGATACAAGAATGTCTCCAGAATGAGGTTCACAAATCTGCATGTCCAAAAGTCCTCCGTTCTTGCTTCATAGGCCTCCCAGTCTATTGCTCTAAAGTTGAAGTCCCCCAGTATCAACAGTCGTGATTTATCTTTATCTGCTTGTACAATAATATCTCTCATGACCATTATGAGGCCCTCTCGTTTGTCATCCAGTTCTTCCTTTGTCCACGTGTTGCTTGCTGGTGGGCTGTAGGTATTTACAATTATCAGGTTATCATCCTGATTCCAGACCTGCAATGCCATTATGTCAATATCTCGAGGGTTTTCAAATATTAACTCTTTTACCTTCAGGTGTTTTTTCACCAGTACAGCCACTCCTCCTCCCTTCCTAGTTTTCCTGTCACGTCTCCAAACTGAGTAGCCTCTTGGGAATATGACTTCATTTATTATATTTCCTTCAAGTTTCGTTTCTGATAATGCAACAATATCTGGGACCCTAAGCTGGATTATATCTTGCAACTCCAAAGTTTTTGACCTCACTCCATCTATGTTGGTATATACAATTTTCAGGAACATGTTCCCTTTTCCTTTGCTCTTTACTCCCCCTTCCACTACTGATCTTGTTGCTTTGTTTTTATGTACCATTTCACAAGCTTTCCAGTCCCTGTCACTTTGTAAAAAAAAGAATTTCTGTCTTCTTCATTTCTATCCCCATTTAGACGTTTTGCCTCAATTAAGTTCATTTTCAGCTTTTCTCTGTCTTCCTTGGAGAGGTCTTGTCTTATTGACCAAAATTTGCCAACCTCATCACTCTGCAGTTTCCTGGCATTTCTTAGCACTTCCATCATGTTTTTCACACCATTAAACGTCACCCTTAAGGGGCGGTTCTTTTCTTTCTCATATTTTCCTATTCTTCTAAAATCACTGACATTTTCCTTTGAGCCTTCTCCTAAACCTACTATTTTCTCTATGATTTTCATCTCTTCTGCCGCTCGGTCCACCCTAGATGGAATTTCTTTCTCTAAACATCAAAAAATGATTATAGACTTAGTTCTATCTGCAGTGTTTTGTACCAGTTTACTGTTGGTAACCAGTTCTTTCCTAATTGCTTGCCTAATTTCTGCTTCTTGTTGGTCATTTCTGGTTTTGACTTCCGAACACACTTCTTTGATAGTCTCTTTCTCTTTTACAACTTCAGCATATGTCGCTTTTATTTCTTCTTTATACTTTTCTAGTTCTTTATTCACCTCCTCTATGTGAGTTGACAGTGAAGTTTCCAGTTGGAGATCCTTACCTAACTCTATGTTAGCCCTTAGGCTTGCTTGGAGTTGTTCACCATATGAGTCTATCTTCTTGTTTATTTCTTCAAAGTCACCACACTTCACTTTCCATGCCTCATTTTCTTTCACTAGTTCCTTGATTTGCTCCTCCTGATTTGTTACCTTGTCTGTTAATGCAGTAATAATCTTACCTTGTTGAAGCATACTCCCTTTTAGAGTGCAAAGCTCACTCCAAAGAGTTCCATTGTCCTCTTCTAATTTAAGCACTTTTTCTTCATACTTCTTTTGCATGTCCTCAATTATCTCTAACCTGCCAAGAACACCTCCTTTCCTTATATCTTGTGTTGAGAATCCTTTGAAACCATCATCTGATGGTGTGTCTACCTTCTCAGTGGGGTGTACACAAGTGTACACAAGTACAAGTACACATGTGTACACAAGTGTGTGTACACATGCACATGTGTACACACACACACAAGTTCAGAATTGCTTTTAAATACATGGATGGCGATATATTAAAGAAATTGTTCACAACTTTTGTTACGCCAAAGCTAGAATATGCAGCGGTTGTGTGGTGCCCATATCTTAAGAAGCACATCAACAAACTGGAAAAGGTGCAAAGACATGCTACTAAGTGGCTCCCAGAACTGAAGGGCAAGAGCTACAAGGAGAGGTTAGAGGCATTAAATATGCCAAAACTAGAAGACAGAAGAAAAAGAGGTGATATGATCACTACATACAAAATAGTAACAGGAATTGATAAAATTGATAGGGAAGATTTCCTGAGACCTGGAACTTTAAGAACAAGAGGTCATATATATAAACTAGCTAAACACAGATGCCGAAGAAATATAAGAAAATTCACTTTCGCAAACAGAGTGGTAGACGGTTGGAACAAGTTAGGTGAGAAGGTGGTGGAGGCCAAGACTGTCAGTAGTTTCAAAGCGTTATATGACAAAGAGTGCTGGGAAGACGGGACACCACGAGCGTAGCTCTCATCCTGTAACTACACTTAGGTAATTACACTTAGGTAATTACACACACACACATATTGTATATATTATATATACATTTTTTCCCAGATAAGCATGCTTAAATAGTATACAGAGATACTTGCTTTATGCTTGCACTGCCTAAATACAAATCATACTACTTTATCGTTTTCTAATTATTTCTCATATTGATAAGGTATCTTTACCAGGTATACCAAATTAAAAATTATTTTTAAGGAAGATATAAAATTACATAGTGCAAAAGTACTCACTCGTGTCTTATTTCCATTTCAGCCCACTCACACCAAACACTGGCTAAATCGTCAACCTTTACATATGTTACTTCAGTAGCTCGCTGAAATATAATTCGTGCATCTATAATTTGGTTATTTTCTTCATAAAACTTGGCAAAGTTAACCCAAAGTGAAAACAGCTTTCCTGTTGCTTGTTTTGGATCAATTGTTTTTACTGCTTCCATATATGTAGCAACAATCTGCGAAAAGACATAAAAATAAAAAATTATTATTTGTTCCTTGGTAAAAGTAATCCACTTGAAGACGCACAACAAACCAGCGTTGAATGTAATGAAATGCCATTTTCTGGGTGAGCCCCGTAGACTCACTGAAGCTATCAAACTGGTATGTGCCATTTTAGTTTGGTGCCATCAGTCCTTTGAGTTCGAGTGCCTACTGGGGGCCACGAGCCAAAAACCTAGCGTCCCCCTCATAGAGGCGAATGGAGCAGGCGAGCAGGCAGCACCACCCTCAGCTCTGAGAATGATGAAAATCACCGAACGGAGGGAGGGAGGGTGTCAGGGAGCCACCGGGACTCACCCAGAAAATGGTGTTTCATTACATTAAATGCTAGTTTTCAGAGGGGAAGCTCCGTTGGCTCCCTGAAGCTATCTACCCACAGATAACTAAAAACAGGGACTTACCGTGGAGGCGGCAGTACCGCAGGTCTCATGACGAAGACAACTGGCCATGACAGATGTCCCAAGGCAACACAAGGCCACAGAGGGTTCAGGACATTAACAAGATATCTGACGGCCAGGATCCTGTTCGATTTCCAAAACCCCTGCACCCGAATATCGACCCAGAACATATTACCAAAGACGGCAGCAAGAGCTGCATACAGAGGAACCTCGGTTTTTGTATGCCCGTTTTTTGTATATTTTTCAGTACTCTAACTCAATTTCTTTGAAAAATTTGATTCGGTACTCGTTGTTTGCCTCGGTTTTTGGAGTTTGTTTATACACATACGAGTCGACAGAGCATGTGGCGTCTCAGTTTACCAGTGTCTCCCGCATAGTGATGATTGAGTTTGAATTCTTTGTGATGAATTTCCTTGTTTTTGTGCTTTTTTGGTTTCTGAACATAAAAGTTTTTATTATATATCATGCATGGGTTCCAAGAAAGTCAGTAGTAATGTTCAACCTAAGAAAATAGTTGTGAGGATGATGATAAGAGGAAAAAGAAGAGATCATTCATAGTGAGACAATGTGATGTCTCACTACAGACAAGTGTTAAAACATAGGGAAAACAAGTGTCTATAGACAGATTGTTAGTAACACAAGCAAGCAATGAGCCACAACCAGGTCCTAGTGGTATGCCTGCAAAACATAAGAGAAAGTACCCCAGAAATGTCATCACTGCTGTTATAATGGAAGGGAGACTCCCCTTTCAAACACTAACACCTCTCTTCCTCTCCCCCTTCCTCACTGTCTTACATACACTAACAAGAGTCCTCAATAAAGGTAAGGTATCTAAGAGTATAAATCTGCATTAAATTTATGTTTTAGTTAATATATTTGGGAGGTGTGGAACATATTAATTCAATTTACATTATTTCTTATGGGAAAATTCGTTTTGGTTTTTGTATTTTGGGTTTTCATACCATCTCTGGGAACGGATTAAATTCAAAAACTGAGGTACTAATGTACTTCCTCACATCATTAGCACGAAGGTAGACCGCAGGCTGGCTAGACTTGATAACCCTGCGGACAACCTGAGAGACATGAGCCCTGGAACAGGGAACCAGGAAAACCAGGTCCACCCAGAGCTCGTCTACTGCCGCTGTACCAATAGCTCACAAATAGCAACGTAAAGCTGCAATCGGACACAAAACATGATGCACCCCCCGCCTAACGAACCAAATATCAACAATCCAAGGTTGTTGATGCACAACAAAGACACAAAGGCCCAGGCAGATTCAAAAGGAGTCAATGTTACAAGGCTGGTTCATTGTTACGTCAAGCACTCCAAGCGGATTTCCCTCCACCCCCGGGAACCCCCGACACAGGCCCTGGGGCAGAGACCTCATCCAAGCCCACAACCCTTGAAGAAAACACAGAGTCCAAGGAAAAAACTTCCAAGAGAGAAGCCTGCTAGGCCGACTCTAAAGCTTTAGCAAGGAATTCTGGCTCAACCTCCATCACCGAGTCGGAAGGGGCAACACCTGATATGTGGCTCCGCCAGTGCTGCACGATAAGAGGTGACAGTATGTGGCATCAAATGACGGTCCTGAAAAAGTCAAGAAAGAAAGAACAAGAACTGAACAGATATAGACGACAACCTACGAAGAGATAGAAAATGATGAAAAGATCACCAGGAAACTTCATACTGTCGCTGAGATGAAGCTCGCAGGTGGAACAACATCACCGAAGCCACCTGATCACCAGGCAAGTGGTGATAAACCTGTGTCAAAAAGACCAGATGTGAAGAGTAGAAGAGTAGACTGAACTAGCCACATACCTGACCAGTTCGATTTGCTGAAAGAGGCAGAGCTGCGGAAAGCACTGGGGATTCGGACACTGACCAAGCAGCGCCTGAACCATGGCTGGGCTGGCCACCAAGGAGCCAACAGGATGACTCTCCCCTGGTAAGTCTCCAACCAAGCCAGGACCTGAAGCAATAGCTGGACAGTGGGGAAAGATGTACAGGTAACTCCGCCTCGACCAGTCCTACCGAAGGGCTTCCACCACAATGGCTCTAAAGTCGGGAAACGGCGCCATATATATCAGGTGATGCCAAGACCACGTCAACGCGAAGAGGTCCACCCCCGGGAGTAAGTACGTCCAGCAGAGCCACCTAAAGGAGTTGGCGTCAACCGCCCATTCCAAGGACAGGGGAATGAACCGAGACAGATCATCTGCCAGGACGTTGGATACTCCCCAGATATGAACCGCACGGAGAGCCAAACCCTGAAAATCAAGGCAAGCCACTCGAAGCGACCAGCCCCAAGAGCCAAGGACCGAAGAGAACCCCCGCAGTTCAGACAATTAACCACCGGAGAGCAGTCCGAATGGAGCCAAATCGTCGAACCCTGAGTGACCTGAACCCTCTGAAGAGACAGCCAACCGCTACGAAACCCCGCACCACACTGTGAGCCCGACAAAAGGACGGAGTCCACCCCCTTGACCGGCCTGGTGAGCACCAGTTACAAAACCCCAGCCGAGAGACGAGGCATCCGTGAACACATCGAGTGAGGGCTCAGGTAGGCGCCAAAGCCAAACCCAGCAATCTCGAGAGAGGTGGAAGTGACATCCCTGAAGGAACCAGAACAGATGCCGCAGCCAGACCCGACCTGGCGGGTAAATCAGCACTGCGAAGTTCAGACCCCCACACAACTGCACGAGCAACCACCGAGTGACCCGGGAACCCCTCAGAACAGCTGAAGGCAGGACCGCGGCTGCAGCAATGGCACCAGAGGGAGGGACATGGAAGCGGTCCGAGTCCCACACGAGGACCAGACAGGTCTGACCCTGGGATGGAACAAGATGAGACTTCCTTCAGTGCACCAGGATCCCGAACCCGGCAAACTGGGAAAGAACCACCCCTGCGGCGAGCAGACAAGCAGACTGGCTGGGAGCCCACACCAACCAGTCCCAGAGGCTCCTTGAAGCTATCATCACTGATTACCTATACCTATAGGCCATATTACCTGGTGTCATCAGTTGCAGAGTCCTTTTTGCCTACTGGGGACCACGAGCCAAAACCTGGCACCCTCAGAGAGGTGCAGAGAGTGATGGCCTATGATCACTTTACATTTAAAGGATAAAGGATATCATATCTGCCCGAAACGCTTTGCGTAATAGTGGCTTTAGGCATTGTATGTACTAGCTCTATCTATAAATCCATCAACTTTTTTATCTTACCTTGTATGTATGTACCTTACCTGAATAAAAATTTATTTATTTATTTATTTATTTATTTATTTATTTATTTATCATCTTTGCCATCACCAGGAAAGGATGCCAGAAAGATAGATGAATCAAAACAAACCACTGATAGTTTAAAAATGCAACCAAAGCCCCAAAAATGACAAAAGAACTCTCCCAATACTTAAAGAAACAACCAAAACTTGGTGAAACTAGCCCCCTGCTCCACCTTCACCTCATTGGGGGTAGGAGGAAGCTGGCCCGGGCTACCCAGGGCAATAGGCTTCAATTCTTTACCGATGTGCTTACCTGAAGGTCACGTTGTTCTGGCTCTTATTTCCCATTTTCTTTTCTGTTATCTTGCTTTTATGGCAGTGTTTTACAGGGAAGTGTATGTAAGCCAGGAGTATTAGTGTGCGAACCAGGCACTGGTTTGTTTTGATTCTTCTAACTTTCTGGATGCCTTCCCTGGTGATGGCAAAGATGATATCCTTTAAATGTAAAGTGATCATAGGCCATCGCTCCCTGCACCTCTCTGAGGGCCAGGTTTTGGCTCTTGGTCCCCAGTAGGCAAAAAGAACTCGGCAACTGATGACACTAGGTAGTTTGGCACTTAATCAGTGATGATAGCTTCAGGGAGCTGATGGGGCTCCCCACAGAAAAAGAGGATCTTTCATATGGAATAATTGTTATTTATTATTACTGCACTGTAGTCCATCGGATGAGGCATATGTCTTGATTCACTTTTACAATTTATCCATAAAATACACTCATCTCAAACAAAGAAATATAATAATTAAACATCTATTTACTTTTATGACTGTCTTGCTACAATGCTCTATTCTACCATTTTTATAAATCACATTGCGGAATGCTTCAAAACTTCAAAGATCAACAAGTTTCATTAATAACTAAGAAAAAGAATAATTACCATTTTAGGCTTTCCTTCATAGAGTGTTACTCTCTTCTGCCACTCTAAAACGTTATGTGGATTTTGCCGTAGCATAACTGAATTGAGTAAAAGTGGTCTGCGTTGCATCAGATCTTCGTATCTAGCCAACCTGCAATTGAAAAAGAAAAAACCTTAAAGATGCTGATAAAGACACCCATCCATTCACCAAATCTCACACACATCATTGCATCATGTAGCTTCAGTATCATCATATTCCAGCAAGTCATCCACAGTAGCACACTGCTAGATATGACTCAATGTAAAGCTCTTCCCAAGAGTTGTCATGGTAAATTCTATGTTAAACATTCAGTCACTCTTCATAAACTGCTACAGCACTAAGTGTTCCCTTCCACATTTCATGCACTGTAAACACACACTCCCTGCATCTCATACAACATATCTGCTCATTCTTTTCTTTGCCTCACCTCCTACTCCTATCCTTAACCCCTCAACTGCGCATCGCACCTGCAGGCCCTCGACGGGGGTGCGTAACACACTTCTAAGTATCTATATTTTTTATGTTCCATTCAAAACGAGCTCACGGTGACACGGGTATGAGATGGATGCCTGGGGGCCCCAGTGATCGTCTGCCATCTTGAAAAAAAAATCCCAGCATGCCCTGCGGCCATGGGGAGCCTCAGTTTCAAAGCAACAACCATGTCTGACGCATTGTCTACGAGCTCCCGCTCCACAGTGACCCCCGGTCATGGAAAACGACTCTCTGAGGAGGAGATACGCGATATTTTGCATGATGATGGTGCTATGGATGATGACCTAGACTATGATCCAGAGAAAGACTTTACACAGAGGTCTGATACAAGTGAGGGAGACTGAGGTGGATGATATGGCGAGCATGTACAGCACATGCGCCTCGCCCAGCCTGCCTCACCGCCCTGGTTCAACAACCAACCCGTTCTCGCAAATTCGTAAAGTCAATATTGACTTAAACTACGTGCATAGGTGATATACTAAACATAATAGATACCCCTAAAAAGATTCATAGAAAACACCGACCTTACCTAACCTTGTTAGTATCTTAAGATAAGCATCTTGTTGCTTCGTAATTACAATTATTACTTAACCTATACCTATTATAGGTTAGGTAATAATTGTAATTACGAAGCAATAAGATGCTTATCTTAAGATACTAACAAGGTTAGGTAAGGTCGGTGTTTTCTATGAATCTTTTTAAGGGTATCTATTATGTTAAGTATGTCACCTATGCACATATTTAATAAGTCAATATTGACTTATTAAATTTGCGAGAACGGGTTGCAACAACGTTATCACCACCACCACCACGTATGTCCCCAGACGCAAGTTTATTCAGTGACAGTACATGCGATGAATCTTTCTCGGGCTTCAGTGACATAGGCTCCAATACGAGTAGTGTGGACGACCCGAGTACGAGCAGCGAGTGTGTTACCAGGCGGGGTTTTGCTGCCTCAGCAACACGTCACGGCAGGCGGCAGCGTGTCTCACAGCATTTGGGCAATGATGACAGTGGCCCCTCAACATCAGGTGTTCGTGGTAGACCTACGGTACATAAATCTGCCTCATCGTCTAGCATACCCCTCACGCAGCTCCAGCACCAGACGACGCAGCCGCGTTTTTGGTGCTCGTGGTGGTGTTGGCCATGGTGTTGGCGCCAACACCAAACCCCCGGGTGTACTTGTTTGGGATGATTGCTCCACATTTGTCTCTCAAATACCAACATTTGATGATACCGATGTTGGTGTTACACCATTATTCCCATATACTGGTGATGATATGGCAGAAATGGAATATTTCCAGGTGTATTTCAACAACATATTCATGACGCATCTTGTGACTGAGACAAACAGGTACGCTCACAGCCTCATAGACGCCAGCATTTTACCTGCCTCACACCTCACGCGATAGAAGTTCACGACAATTGACGAAATGTACGTGTTTCTGGCACTCAGCATGATGATGAAGAAGCACTCCGAGAAAGATGTCGTCCAGGATTATTGGAGCAAAGACAGCCTAGTGCCATCGCCTGTGTTCAACTGGTATGTGTCGTGTGATAGGTTCCTCTTGATTCTTGGCTGCCTGCATTTCGAGAATAATGCAAATGAGGACAAACACGACAGACTGTGGAAGGTATGGAAAGTATTGAAGGTGTTCAGTGACATGAGAGGGAAGTTCAGGGATTATTTTGTACCTGCACAGAATGTGGTTATCGACAATTGCTAGTACTGTTCAAGGGGTGACTGGCATTCAAGCAGTACCTCCCATCAAAGCGGCACCATTCTGGACTGAAGATTTTCGTGCTGTGCGACTGTGAGACTGGTATCGTCTTGGACATGATATTGTATTCTGGTACAAACGTCGACATACCAGCTCAAGATGAACACGGGGTTCTCCGGCAGTGTCATAAAAACCCAGATGGAACCGTTGCCGAACAAGGGGCATACAGTATACTGTTCACTGACAACTATTACACCAGCCCCTTGTTGACCGCATACCTCCTTGCCCACAACACTGGCATATGTGGCATTGTGAAGACCCACAGGAAGGAAATGCCAGTGTTCGGTATTGGTATAGCAGTGGGTGATTGCCAGCTGCGCAAGTGTGTGACAATATGCTGTCAGTGCGGTGGAAGAACAGACGTGCGGTGAGTATGCTGATTACGATTCACACCAGTGCCATATTGGACAGTGGGAAAGTTCACTTTCTGACACACTTCCCCATGTATAAACCGGACTGTGTCAGAGTATAACGTGAACATGTGCCTCGTCAATAAATGTGACATGATGCTTGGTGCAGTGGAGTGCGGCGCAAGTCTGTGAAGTGGACGAAAAAGTTCTTCCACCTAATAGATGTTGCAGTGCTTAATCCTATGTTCCCTGGAATATGACCCCACAAAAAATCGCTTAACAACCAATAAACACATTTTACTATTGAGTTAAACAGAGGTTACAGTTAAGGATTTGCACCCTGTAAATCCTCCCCGGCCAGGATACGAACCCAGGGCAAAGCGCTCGCGAAACGCCAGGCTTAACCACTATACCACGGGGACTGTAATGGTCTATTAAATGGTCATATAGCCATTTATTTATGCTAATAAATTTTATAATTGAAATATTATTACATTCAATTATAAATAAATATTTATAATTGAATGTAATTCTTCATACTTTTTAGTTACTACAGGGGTACACGAATGACACTAATAATGTTCAGAGGAAAATGGAAGGAAAATGGTTGAAAAATCTCTGCTCTAGATATACAAATTAATGAATTTGTAAAAGGCTACTGGCCCATGATAGGCAGCTTCTATTTATGTCAACTATTACAACTTAATTACTTATGGAACTAATGCTTGAAAACTTCTAGCAAGGTTTCTTCTATGATAACTCTTGGTATCTTATTCTACAGATCTGCAACATATTTCAGAACTAGTGTTCACGTTTTTAATTTCTAAATTTCTATTTCTGCAATTTAAATATATTTTTGTAATCTAACTTGGCTTGATGTTTTTAAAACCCTATTTATATGCAAATGATGAGTCACAATAACCTGGCTTAAGATATGAAGATTAAACCACACACTAGAAAATGAGGAGACAACGTCGTTTCGGTCCGTCCTGGATCATTATCAAGTCAATTGTGATGATGGTTGGTCTAGGATCGATCGAAACGTTGTCAGCTCCTCATTTTCTCATGTGTGGTTTAGTATTCCCTATTTATATTCCTTTTATTAAACACTACTAAACCTAAATACAAATTAAGTACAATTTATTGAAACAAAACATACCGTAATTCGAGGTCAATTTCATCTTCTTCTTCAACTTCATTTCCCACTTCTTCCATACGTTTTTTTAGCATTAATTCTTCAAACTGAGCATAGGCATCAAACACTTGCGTAAAATCTCGCACTGTCATCACACTTCTCAGCCCTTCTTCATATACATCTCGAGCCTGAGATCATAATTAAAGAGTATTCGTTTTTACCTATTTACAAATGACAAATCAAATTAAGATACTTCTGTCATTCCTTTTTCAAAACAAGTTAACCCATTTATTTTATTATAATTAAAAAGGTATGTGCAACAATAAACAAAAGCAGAAGATGCACATAGATGTACAGTACATGGTGTCACAATACTTCGGGTGAAATACTTTCTTGTACTCGAGTAAAATTATACTAGTATCTTACAACAGCATAGAAATTTAACCCCTTAACACTTTGGCGTACCCCGCGCGCCACCCCTCAACTGTGCGATATAGGACCCAGGGTGTCACAGGAGCGCGCGTAAATACTGAAAAGTGTATACTCTCTTCAACTTTGTCACCTTAATTCTCGTCCTACGAGATTAAATTTTGTATCATTGTGTTCGCAATAGAATTCTCTACAGCACTAAATGCATATAAACTCCAAAAGCCCAGCTAATTACCCGCAGCAAACAGAGAAAGTGCGAACGAGTTACCCAGGAGCGTGCAAACGCGATAAAATGTTTTCACTATTTTCACTCTGGTCACCTCCATTTTACCACGGGGACTGTAATGGTCTATTAAATGGTCATATAGCCATTTATTTATGCTAATAAATTTTATAATTGAAATATTATTACATTCAATTATAAATATTTATTTATAATTGAATGTAATTCTTAATACTTAAGTATTAATTCTTAAGTATTAATACTTAAAGTATTAATATTAATAGTATTAAAGTATTAATACTTAAGTATTAATTAAGTATAATACTTAAGTATTAATACTATTAAGTATTAATAAGTAATTCTTCATACTTTTTAGTTACTACAGGGGTACACGAATGACACTAATAATGTTCAGAGGAAAATGGAAGGAAAATGGTTGAAAAATCTCTGCTCTAGATATACAAATTAATGAATTTGTAAAAGGCTACTGGCCCATGATAGGCAGCTTCTATTTATGTCAACTATTACAACTTAATTACTTATGGAACTAATGCTTGAAAACTTCCAGCAAGGTTTCTTCTATGATAACTCTTGGTATCTTATTCTACAGATCTGCAACATATTTCAGAACTAGTGTTCACGTTTTTAATTTCTAAATTTCTATTTCTGCAATTTAAATATATTTTTGTAATCTAACTTGGCTTGATGTTTTTAAAACCCTATTTATATGCAAATGATGAGTCACAATAACCTGGCTTAAGATATGAAGATTAAACCACACACTAGAAAATGAGGAGACAACGTCGTTTCGGTCCGTCCTGGATCATTATCAAGTCAATTGTGATGATGGTTGGTCTAGGACCGATCGAAACGTTGTCAGCTCCTCATTTTCTCATGTGTGGTTTAGTATTCCCTATTTATATTCCTCTTATTAAACACTACTAAACCTAAATATAAATTAAGTACAATTTATTGAAACAAAACATACCGTAATTCGAGGTCAATTTCATCTTCTTCTTCAACTTCATTTCCCACTTCTTCCATACGTTTTTTTAGCATTAATTCTTCAAACTGAGCATAGGCATCAAACACTTGCGTAAAATCTCGCACTGTCATCACACTTCTCAGCCCTTCTTCATATACATCTCGAGCCTGAGATCATAATTAAAGAGTATTCGCTTTTACCTATTTACAAATGACAAATCAAATTAAGATACTTCTGTCATTCCTTTTTCAAAACAAGTTAACCCATTTATTTTATTATAATTAAAAAGGTATGTGCAACAATAAACAAAAGCAGAAGATGCACAAAGATGTACAGTACATGGTGTCACAATACTTCAGGTGAAATACTTTCTTGTACTCGAGTAAAATTATACTAGTATCTTACAACAGCATAGAAATTTAACCCCTTAACACTTTGGCGTACCCCGCGCGCCACCCCTCAACTGTGCGATATAGGACCCAGGGTGTCACAGGAGCGCGCGTAAATACTGAAAAGTGTATACTCTCTTCAACTTTGTCACCTTAATTCTCGTCCTACGAGATTAAATTTTGTATCATTGTGTTCGCAATAGAATTCTCTACAGCACTAAATGCATATAAACTCCAAAAGCCCGGCTAATTACCCGCAGCAAACAGAGAAAGTGCGAACGAGTTACCCAGGAGCGTGCAAACGCGATAAAATGTTTTCACTATTTTCACTCTGGTCACCTCCATTTTCGTCCTAGGTCTTTCATTTTGGTTTCAATGGGTTCGCAATAGAATTCTCTAGAGGAACATTAGCATATAAAATAAAAAACCTGGTCATGCTCCAACCGCCAACGAGTTGAAGATGGGCCACGCGTTAGCCGCAAGTGAGCGCTCGCACACCTTCCAGCTGCACTCCCAATTCCCGCCCTTTTCAAGCCTTTCTTTCGCAATTTTCTTCCTGGAAGGGCCTTGTTCATGATCACTATCCATCGTGGAGTAAGCGTAGATAGTTTCTAAAGCCGCAGTAAGAAATATAGCCACGGAAAATAGCCGAAATGTTCACACTTTTAAGATGCGAGGGCAGGCGACATTGGTCACAACAGTGGAGCGAAAACAATGGGCCCACGGCGTGTGCCAAGCCACCTGAGGGCCACGAGGCTCAACAAAGAAAATGGGAAGACATCGGCGCGCATTTTAAAACCAGTCCAAAAAAAATCGGATAAAAACCTGATTTTCGGCGATTATTTAACCCTTCAATTGCGCATCGCATCATATGATGCTTTGACCGACTTGCAGTAAATTGTGCATCGCATCATGTGATGCTTTGGAGTACTACGCAAGATTTAAACGGCCCGCAGATACACGGGGTTCACCACACCTTCATCAGGGCTCTTGTAAACAGACGCCATTTTTTAAAAAAATCGTGGGCCAAACTCCCGGGTGTTATTGGCCTCAGTATTGAGTGAGTAACCAAGCCTGACGCACGCAGCATGAGCTAACAGCACTGCTGTTCAGCTTGTGACCACAGCATCGCCTAAAAATGCCATAATATACTTGTTCATGCTATTATGTAGCGATGATATTATTACAGAAGACCCCTGACTGTGATAAAACTGACCAGGGTTCTGATAATAGCAAGATTGTCGTGATATTTGGCGCTGTGCGCCATGGAGGGAGGAGTAATGCTGTGGGAGGGAGGATGGTGGCGTTGTCTTTTGAGTGTGTGTGGCCACCTTTTATTGACTGCACTCACCATACCAGCTTAGTGGTTCGCTATGGTGAACACAAATATAGATACTTATATATAACGTGTGTATAGTGTGAGATAACAGCGAGAGTAGGAGGTTGGGAGCCGCCATTTTGGTGAGGGAGGAGCGTCGTCTGCAGGACTTATCATGTTGTTTACTGATGACCACGATGGTCTTTGGGCATCATACCAGTTTACTTGTACAAGTATGGTGAATAAAACAGGTAGATATTTATATATAATGTGTGTATATAGCGTAATAACACCACAAACAGTATTGTTGTAGGAGAAATATTAGTGCGTCTGGCCTTGAGGGCGACCGCCACCAGCTGACTGTGTGAGTAGCTACGTCTTTATGCCTTTACTCACCATACAAGCTTAGATGTACAGTTATGGTGAATAAAACATGTAAATACTTATATATAACGTCTGTATATAAAAGCAAAAACCGTATGGTGGGAGGAGAATGGTGGCAAGTCAAGTGAGGTGAGGTGATGGAGGGAGTGGCAGCCAGTGGCAGCCAGTCACTGCCTGCCACTGCCACTCAGCATACCAACTTAGTGGTTCGTCATGGTGAACAAAACATGCAGATACTTATATATAACCCGTGTATATAGTGTAATAACCGACAAAGTATTTGTTCACTGTTTGATGAACATAATTGAATCAACAATATGCACACCATATTTTTGAGTACAGCGATGATTCACTCATTTTATTATATAAATATATCACACTACACATTATTGAATAATATTACAGCAAAAAAACTACGAAAAATCAGAGACATTGAAATAATTAGGTAATTATCTCTTTGTGGAAACTCTGGCCTGACAGCTGGCGGTCAACAGACCGCCTGGGACGCACGCTCAGTCAGCGCCTGATTTTTGCCACACTTCCCCGCCCTATAGTGGGCAATATATGCCACTTACGATTTTTTTATTATTTTTCCCGTGATCAGTGAACACAAATTAACAGATTAGGAAGAAAAAATAATTTTTTTTTTTTTTTTTTTTGGTATGCGCTTGTGGGTGTCAAATGGAATATAGCTATGCGCCATTTAAAGGTTAAAGTGGATGACGCAATGCTGCGTCATCCCCGGCATTACCGACAGTAAACGGATGACGCAATGCTGTGTCATGCCCGGGCGAAAGTGTTAACTGTGCGGCCTCCAAATATGACACCCCCCCAGTGCACAGGAAATAAAATCTCTAGAAATTTTTTTTTCTGTTTTTTAAAGTGTCAAAAACCCTTCCCTGAGTAAGGGTATAGCAACAGAAGGTCGAAATTGTAAGTACTTTAGCTGCTATGGGATCCGTAAGTTTGTGCGTGACGTCATCGTTTCCTGGTCGCCCGTGGCATACGCCCCCGGGGCCGATAGGGAGCTCGGGGCAGGATGCGCGAGTTGCCACGAATATTTTTTTGGTCATTTTCTGCACACATTTCCAAATACATTTTACATGCTTTTACGTGCCAATCCTATGTATAATGAACATGTAGTCTATATTATAGCAGTAGAACATCCGTTCTGTCCGAAGACACTGTGTTACGTGCATGACACATGTGTACACATATCCGGCACATATTTCCATTGTATTATGCTAATTTATGTATATATACAGTCTATTTACACACTATACACTATCACTATATACATTCAACATGAACACACTCGGAACTCTACGAGTGTCAGCTGCAACACCCCTCACTCCTCCAACATCCAGTCTCTCCCTCACGCCTCCAACATATTACTCGCCAACATTGCTCCTCCCACCATACTGTTACTGATTGTATTACACTATTTACACATGTTATGTATACCTATCTACATGTTTTATTCAACAGAACTATGCAAGTAACTCGGTATTACACTGTTTATAAATTTACACAACGTTCCAAACCTACATGGTTCGTTTTCAAGTGATGGAACTGTACTGGGCATATAGGATTTATTCCATTAGGGGGTCAAATACATACAAGTACAAATAGGTGAAGAGTATGGCATAAAGGGAGGGGAAGAATAGTGTAAATGGGGACAAATAAACCGAAAAAAGGGGAAAACACAAAGATTAATCTGGTGTAGTGGGTGTGGCATTTTGAGCAATGTCATCTATGTTGGCATCTTCATGTTCCGGTCTTGTTCTTACTCTCACTATTTACTTGCATAATAGACAAAACTCATGATGTAATTAGATTACAAATTCTTGAAGCCTCCCGTCTCTCCTCATAAAAAGAGTTACGAGTAGAGACTAGAGGTGTTAAACATGCCAAAACTAGAAGATAGAAGAAAAAAAGGTGATATGATTACCACTTACAAAATACTAACAGGAAACTATCAAATTGAAAGAGGAATTCCTGAAACTAGCAATTTACTGAACAAGAGGACACAGATTCAAGCTAAGGAAACAAAGGTGCTAAAAAAAATATTAGAAAGTTTTCATTTGAATACAGAGTGATACATGGTTTGAACAAGCTAACCAAGAACGTGGTGGAGGCTAAAACTGTCAGTACAGTGCTTCCTCAGACTAACGAACCCCGCTCTATCGAATTCCCGGAAGAGCCGAACAAATTGAATTCGGTACCAAATGTTCAGTGGAACATACAAATGTTCGATTAAGTGAGGAATGTTCGTCCAAGCGGTCACCGAGGCCGAGCGTCGGAGCTGGCTGTCATCAACTATGATTCGCCAGAGTGTAAACAGTTATACGTGTATAGTATTTTATTATCCCTACCCATTGTTTCTAGGGAGAAATGGTGATAAAAATTGTGATAAAATGGTGTCAGGGGGCATTAGTGAAAGAGTTGTTGCCAGGAGGCAAGTGGTGTCAGTAGTTAAGGTTTTTTGTTAGGGGGCAGGTGGTGTAAGTTACGTATTCTCATGGGAGGCAGGTTGTCAGCCAGGCAGCTGACAACCAGCTGAAAGGGTGATAAAATGGTGTCAGGGGGCATTGGTGAGAGAGTTGTTGTCAGGAGGCAAGTGGTGTCAGTAGAAGCAACACGTGACTGGCGCCTCCATGCTCCCCCGCCCCCCACCCTCCTTCCTGCACCTGACCACAGAGACCACCCACTACCTCACTCTCCTCTCGTCGTCAGATGCCAAGAGTCAATTTAATAATAATTATCGCATTATCTACACTGAAAATAGCCTTTTTATTAGAGAAAATGTCATATTGGAGCAATAATAATGGTGAAAACTGTGATATATACAGTACATATTTTAAACAGTTTGAACACATTTCCTTTTCACAGAATTTTTAATACAATTGGGGTGTAGATAACAGCTAGCATTGTGTGGCCGGCCGGTCGCTCCCTGAGCCATTGAGGGGGTGGGGGTTTGTTTCCTGGATCCCTCCCTCCCTCCTCTAACAGCCTACGTACTGTACTAATACCTATTTAGAATAAATTTTGAGGAGGCCAATAAAACAAGCACAGGTCGTGTGAACATTAGGCCTTGGTGAGGTGGCTGGCATCATTTGTGGTGGTGTCAGGGGAGGCAGGCGGTGTCAGGGGAGGCAGGCGGTGTCAGGGGAGGCAGGCGGTGTCAGGGGAGGCAGGCGGTGTCAGGGGAGGCAGGCGGTGTCAGGGGAGGCAGGCTGGGTCAGGGAGGCAGGCGGGGTCAGGGGAGGCAGGCGGGGTCAGGGGAGGCAGGCGGGGTCAGGGGAGGCAGGCGGGGTCAGGGGAGGCAGGCGGGGTCAGGGGAGGCAGGCGGGGTCAGGGGAGGCAGGCGGGGTCAGGGGAGGCAGGCGGGGTCAGGGGAGGCAGGCGGGGTCAGGGGAGGCAGGCGGGGTCAGGGGAGGCAGGCGGAGTCAGGGGAGGCAGGCGGGGTCAGGGGAGGCAGGCGGGGTCAGGGGAGGCAGGCGGGGTCAGGGGAGGCAGGTGGGGTCAGGGGAGGCAGGTGGGGTCAGGGGAGGCAGGTGGGGTCAGGGGAGGCAGGTGGGGTCAGGGGAGGCAGGTGGGGTCAGGGGAGGCAGGTGGGGTCAGGGGAGGCAGGTGGGGTCAGGGGAGGCAGGTGGGGTCAGTGGTGGAAGGTGTTGTCAGGGGAGGTGGAAGTGGAGAGAGAAGGGTGCTGACCACGCATGGCTGCCAAACCTCTCATTCATACTCTATTATAAATCTCAATCTTAGCTGTAAAATATTTATGCCAAAATATGTTAATTTTCGTGTATTAATATACATTATTAATCATTAACATGTTTTATTGTTTCCTGTAAAAAACTATAGCTGACTTGGCATTGTGGTGTGTATGGCCGGGTACCTGGAGGGTGGGTGGGGGGGTCCTGGAGGTGTGAGGGGAGACCAGTCAACCCATCTTTTTTTTTTTGTTGGGCGAGTTGAGACGTTTCCAAGCCTGCTGCTTCAATACACCCCATAGATGGTGTGGGTGGTGTGGGGGATGGTGTGGGTGGTGTGGGGGATGGTGTGGGTGGTGTGGGTGGTGTGGGGGATGGTGTGGGTGGTGTGGGGGATGGTGTGGGTGGTGTGGGGGATGGTGTGGGTGGTGTGGGGGATGGTGTGGGTGGTGTGGAGAATGGTGTGGGTGGTGTGGAGGATGGTGTGGGTGGTGTGGAGGATGGTGTGGGTGGTGTGGAGGATGGTGTGGGTGGTGTGGAGGATGGTGTGGGTGGTGTGGAGGATGGTGTGGGTGGTGTGGAGGATTTTGTGGGTGGTGTGGAGGATGGTTTGAGTGGGGTGGGGGATGGTGATTCTCGCATCTCAGATTATTATCGACACCAAAAGAGCATGAAAGATATTATAATGAAGCACCACACAACAAAGAAACAAACTAATGTGTCCTGGCATATGTTTAAAAAAAAAAAAATAAGAAGGTTGTTGGGGCCGGACGGATGGAACGAATTCCGCACTGGAACGAATCGGCTTCGCCCCATATAGTTCGTTCAAGTGAGGACACACTGTAGTTTCAAAATGCTATACAACAAAGAGCACTGGGAAGACGGGACACCACAATCGTAGCTCTCATCCTGTAACTAGTTTTAAGTAATTACATGCACACATGCCACATACATACACACATATACAGTGGTACCTTGGTTTACGAATGCCCGTTTACGAACTTTTCGGGTTACGAGCCCGATTTGTTTGGAAAAATTGAATCGGGTTACAAACTTTACCTCGGGATACAAGTTTATTGATACACGTACGGCCGACCTAGCTCATGGTGGCACCACGGTCGCGCCTTAGTTTACCAGTGCCTCGCCCCCAGTGACTATCCTGCCTGAATTTTTCACAAGGATTTACAGTTTTTTTCAGATTTTTGGCCATTTGAGCATAAAAGTTGTTATTATATATCTTGCCATGGGTCCCAAGAAAGCCAGTGGTAAGGTTCAAGGCAAGAAATCACATGTAAGAATGACCATAGAGGAAAAACAAGAGATCATTCGTAAACATGAAAATGGTACACGTGTTGTTGAACCAGCTAGGCAGTATAACAAATCTTCAGGAGAGGAGGAGGAGGAGGCAGTAGAGGATGTCCCTTCCTCATTAATTAAGAAAATGTGTGCAGTATGGGAATAACTGCAAAGTTTTGCTGAAAAGAATCACCCAGATAAAGCTTTAGCAGGCCGTTGCATTGATCTTATTAATGACAATGTGATGTCTCACTACAGAAAAGTGTTACAAAGAAGGGAAAACAATCAAGAAAAACAATGAGAAAATCATGCAGTGAGCCAGAAGCAGATCTTAGTGGTATGCAGGCAAAATGTGCCAGTGTGTGTACCCCAGAGTAGTCATCACTGCCTGATGTTATAATGGAAGGGGACTTCCCTTCCAAACAGTAACACCTCTCCTCCTCCTCCCTCCTCACTGTCTTCTATATGCCAACAGGAGTAATCAATAAAGGAAAGTAATAACTTGTACATACTTTTGTAGTGAAGATTTGGGTGAATTTGGTATAAAATTTACCTAGAAGTGAATTTTTTGGGGAGTCAGGAACGGGTTAATTACTTTCCCATTATTTCTTATGGGGAAACTCGCTTCGGTTTATGAATTTTCAGGTTACGAACAGTCTCCAGGAATGGATTAAATTCGTAAACCGAGGTGCCCCTATACATACATACACACACATACATACATGTACAGAAACTGAAAGCTTACCACTGCATCTTAAGATGCCCAGTACTGTACTTACTCTTTCAAATAGAGCACTTATGATATAGAATTCAGCCAAAGAGTTCCACAGCATACCAACTTGGTCCGTGTAACGCTGAAGACCATGACGAATGATGGCTTCTGCGTTTTTCAGGCTAGTTTCCTAGATGAGGAAGAGAATACAAATTAGGGACTTCACAATTATGTAAACTGATAATCAATAATAACTGAATGATTATTGTATATGTAACATTAATAACATACCTGCCTGGGATAATCTGTATTATTTTATATTAAATATTATACAGTGTTTGCCATTACAGCATTTCCTAAGTTCTAATTTAAACACATATTTCGTAAGATATTTTATGCTGCATTTAGGACATCTTTATTAACCACAAAAGATGTCAGGGCCTATCTTATCTTTCAAAATACAGTAATCATTAAAATTGTTACCCTGACTATGCTAAAAAACAATTCTTGATTTTAGTTTATTTTTCTTATGAAATGGTAGATCTGTATATGAGAACTAAACCACACGTCAGAAGATGAGGCGGCGACAACGTTACGGTCCATCCTGGACCGAATTCACAATCAACTTGATAATGGTCTTGGACGGACCGAAACGTAGTCGTCTCCTCCTCTTCTGGTGTGTGGTTTAGTTCTCATATCTTGAAGCCACATTATTGTGACTCATCATCTGCATGTAGATCTGTATGCAAAAGCATGGAAAATACACTAAAATTTCTTGTGTCTACTCTTATTTTGGCCCTGGTAGTAGCCAATATTCCTTCTGAGATATGGGCACCATACAACTGCTGCATATTCCAATTTTAGGTCTCACAAAAGTCATGAACAGTTTCTTTAATATTTCACCATCCATGTACAGTATTTAAAAGCGATTAAGAAGTTGGAAGGCATAGCACATGTTCCTTGCACAATGTCCTTTTGTGTTTTTCTCTGGTGAAATGCGCTTCAGGGTTATTAAGAAGATATTTCACTATACAGTACTACTCACCAGGTAAGTCACAAACCTGTATATGCATTATAATGGATGAAGGGCTAATTAAAAAGTTATTTACCTGGGAGGGGATAGGAGTGGCTTGGGGTCTGATGGATCGAGAGAAATCTTTTATGGAATGAATTAACCTCACCCTTTAATATTTGTTGAAGAGAGCTCACACTATATACTAGATGCAATCTTCTGGGATTGACCCAGCGATGCCTGGGTCAACCCCAGAAGGTTGTGCTATTTAACTGTTGAGAGCCAGGATTGACCTAGTACTTGGGTCGATCCTGGCACCAAAAAGATTGTGCCATGGGAGCCAACCCTGATTCCAATATATATATACTGGTATATACACTGCCTAACCCTTCTTCTAAACCTTAATCATCTGATTATTTCATCTATTCGTTTGCAAGCCTGACCCCAGGCACCTCCACCCAGGAGAGACCTATGTAGTTTGGCAGCTGGCCACTGTGTTGCCGGGGCACAACCTCTGCACCTACTCTGATGACCCAGTCTTGATTTTGTATTTACCCACAGCAAACAAAGCCCTTCCCCTCTTTCACCGTTTTATATATGTAAAATATATATTGCATCCTGCCACTGTGGCGTAAGGAAATATGGGAAATCCATTATTCAAAGTTTCAACAAGTGGTGGAGTCAAGAGAAAACATGTGATGAATTCTGAACAAAAAGTTCAGCTTATAAAGAAAGTTGAATCTGGAATTCCTAGGAATGGCATCTGTGCCAAACTCAAAATTAGCAATACCACCGAAGAGTGGCGGTGAGGGAGGGAGGGAGATGTCTAGTTAATATGGTTCACTTGTTGTGTGGTCCACTTGTCCCCTTGTGTGATCCAACTTATCATATGAAGGAATTACTAATTGTAACCTGTGATAAAATGGGCACTGATACAGGAACTAACTTGGAATGCAATTATACAATGAACTTTATTTCATTTTAGTTATATAAAATATATCATCTGAATGTTACTCAAAATATTACCAACACTTCAACAACTTCGGAAATACCGGAGCCCCGGAAATAACGACCTGGGTACAGCCCTATATAGGCTGTTAAATCGAGTGGATACTGTAAACGTACGTTACAAGATATACAGTACTGCCAAAAATTATATATACTGTATTGTACATATAACAAGGGGTTATTAATGATCTCCATGTTAACAGGAATTCTGATTCTACTATCTCATTATTTTAGGATAATATAGCACTAAAATGACCAGAGAGAGAGAGAGAGATGTAAACAGGCTGCAATGTGTTAGTAAAGACTAGCAAATGGCACTAACACATCCTGCACAATTTTAGTAATACATTTTCCACTCATGCAAAAATGTACATTCAGGCCATTAAAGACATTCAGGCCATTAAAGTAGCCTGCTCTGAGCACTCTAATTTTTTCAAAGTAAATGTGCCGGCCACTCGGGACACTCGATGAAGAGCACTCATACAGGGTTTTCCATGTCATTTATTGATGCATGCATAAATAACAATTAAATTTTTTTCTGATTTCACTCTACAGTATTTATGGTAAGGTATCTTAGATAAGCTAATTGGTCAAGTCAGGTAAGGCTATTTTTGTTACTTTTTTCCTGGCAGCACTAAGACTTCCCAGTTAATGAGGATGGATCCCCATTAACTAGATATCCATCTGGTTGATGGGGATGGATGAACCAGATGTCCAGATAATCCAAAAATTCTTTAAAGTGGAGATACAGATTGGGGTTCCACTGCAATACAAAATATGTAGCTAAGACATTGCTTTAGTAGAAAGATATACAATCTGTTTTTATCGAACTTACCTGAGGATTTTTGGAGATAAGTTCACAAAGTTCAGACCACAACTGATGTTTCGATTTGCCATACTTGGAAGTAAAGGAGTCTGTGTTAACACACCATTCATATTTTTTGGCTGCTTCTTCTAATCGGCCAATGGATATAAGATAGCTAATGTAATCCTCAGTATCTTCTGGACATAGCTGAAAATAGAAAAAGATTTTCTTTGTCAAGAATTATCCCAACATCCTCCATGTTTCTGAATATTGCGAAGTAACATTCATAAAACCGGTGTTGAACGTAATGAAATGCAGGCAATGAGTCACAATAACGTGGCTAAAGTATGATGACCAGACCACACACTAGAATGTGAAGGGACGACGACGTTTCGGTCCGTCCTGGACCATTCTCAAGTCGATTGTGATGAAGTAGAGACAGGCAATAAATAGGCACAAGAGATGAGGAGCAAAGTAAGGTGTAGTAGAGGGGCTAGTGGTAGGAACTGCAGAGGGCCTATTGGCCTATACGAGGCAGTTCCTATTATAACCACCGAAAGAGAAGGAGAAAATAATGAGAAGAGGAAAGCGAGGGAACGTAGAAGTACATTACCTAACAATGGGTATTTTGAGTGTAGGTGACTGGGCCTTCTGACAATAATTCAAGGCTGGACTGATATTTCTCCAATGTCTCCCATCAATGACCCAGTGGGAGTGACTTTAAAAGATCAATGATGCATCAAAGACAAAGGTCACACCAATCAGGCTAGAATTAGATTGTCCTGGAGAGAGTTGAATATTGCCCAAAGGAGCAGCCAAATAGTTTATACTTAGAAAATGCAGCTACACTCTACCTGAGGTGAGGAACATGACTTGTTTGGTTTCATGAAAATATATATTATTATTTTAAATAATCTCAAAATATTGTACAATATAACTAAACTAGAACAGGTACAAGGAAAAAATGTGTTTACCTTCAGATATCTCCTCCAAACTCTACCAGCTGTTTCTGGAATATTGTAAGACATCACAAACTTAAGATACAGAGGCCATATGCGGTTGTGTTGTGTTATTGGTAAAGCACAGAGGGCACGGTCAAATGTCTGAAAGGGAAAGATTATGATGTTGGTTCACTTGTTAAAATTGGCAAAAATATGTTTCAACCAAAAAAAAAAAAAAAAAAAAAAAATGTAATGAAACGCCATTTTGTGAGTCACGGAGCTATCCATGGCTGATATGGATACCCTAACTATTTTGCATCAGTCGATGTGGGTGGAGTTCTAGGCCTACCGGGGACCACGAGCCAGAACCTGGCCCCCTCACAGAGGCACGAGGAGCAATGGGGCATAGAAATGCACATGTGATATGGAGCATTCTGTATCTGCCTTCGACCAGGACAGGCACCCAGAAAGGTAAGCACCACAAAACAAACCCCTATTCTGGTTAACAACGAAAATCACCAAATGAGTGGACAGAACTCCCCAAAAGAAAAACGAGCTAACAAGCATGACGTCACCCGAGCCGCGCCGCATGTCTCCCCCCTCCCCGGGAGGGGGAAGGGGAGCCCCAGACCCCCGCGCCAGCGATCCCCACCCCAGTTCTGGAGCTGGATATAAAAAACGCAAAAAAATGCTGACCGGAGGGAGGGAGGGTTACCGGAGAGCCTGCGGGACTAACCCAAAAAACGCCATTTCATTACATTCAACGCTGGTTTTCTGGGGGAGCCCATATGGCTCCCCGGAGCTACTTCACCAAAGACAACAGAATAAAAAGGGGACTTACCCGGGAGGTGGTTGGTGCTCCACTCTTCAACTTGAAGTCGAGACAACGAGCTGCAACCACCGACCGAAAGCAACACAGGCCCGACTGGGCCCAGGAACGTTCACAAGGTAGCATGCAGCCAGGACCCTGTTCGACCGCCAAAAACCCCGTGCCCAAATGTCAGCCCAAGACATATTGCCAAAGACGGCAGCAAGTTAGTTTAGTTGATTTATTATGCACCCCTTACCCATCTTGTGGGCGGTAGTGGAAAGAGTTACAGAGGCACATAATGGGCTCAGGAACTGAACCCCACAATTCATTTAGCTAAGCAAGTTACAATCTTGTTGAGCTAGTTACAAAATTCAATATAAGTCGTCACATCAACAATGGGTTCGAGATCGACCACAAGTACAGTTTCTAAATTAAGCAACTGACATGTGTGGAGAGCTAGTGTCACAATTGATATGTTTGTCCTGCACACCACCCCCCATCCAGTGGGCAGCGGTGGATAGGTTACAATCACTTAGTTACTACCTACAGTTAGCAAACTGGGGATATTTGGCTAAAATTTCTGGTAGCAGATCATTTTGAATGAAATATTTATACATCGTTGGAACATTGGTTATAGAATTGTCTCTAAATTCACGTATCTTTTCGCACTCCATCACATAGTGATGGAGGGTGTGCGAATAATTTTGTTGACACAGTTTACATTTGGTCAGGTCTACATCGGCAGATAATGAAAATTCCCAGGGATACTTGTAACCGAGTCTAAGCTGAGCAGTAGTAACATCTAGAAGTCTGCTGATTTTATTGGATGATCCATAGATGTGTGGCTCCTCTTGCATGATAGTATGATGATAGATGGAATTACTGGTGTCATTAGATTACATTACTGGTGGAGTAGACCTCGTCTGGCGAAGGCTCTGCCAACGCCCCTTTTTTGACAGACTTCCCTACCCTATTGCGGCTAAAATATGCCACCTACGATTTTTTTGTTATTTTTTCCGTGATCAGGGAACAAAAATGAACACTTCTATAAGACGAAAGAATTTTTTGGATTTTTTTTTTTGTTGCGCCCGTGGGTGTTAATTCCATTTGGGCCCCTAGCGGTTTGAGGGTTAATAATTTTGTTGTATTTGTGTCTAGCTTCGGGCACGAGCATGTTATAATTATGTCTAAAAGAGTTGAGAGCATTTAAGGATGATAAGGAGTCACTTACAATTAATGTATTAAGTTTGGAGACTTGTACACATTTCAGTGCAAGGAGCAAGGCAAATAGTTCGGTTTGAAGGGTAGAGGCCAGCAGCAAACTTACGAATGTCATGGGTACGGGGATAGACTGCAGGCTGGCTAGATTTAATGACCCTGCGGACAACTGAGAGACCCGAACCCGCGAACAGGGAAGAAGGTAAACCGGATCAACCCAAAGCGAGTCCCCGAACGTAAGCCTGATGCCCCCACAACAAAACCGAGCCAGTCCGTGAACCCCGGATAAATCGGGACGTGCCAATACGTGTCCCGGAGGTCCAGGGACACCATCCAAGCGCCTGGCTCCAAGAGAAGACGGCCCTGGGACAGAGTAGTCATCCGATAGTAGGGGCAATAAACCCAGGAGTTCAGACGGGACAAGTCCAAAATGAACCGCAGGTCTACGCAGTCCCCTTTCAGAACTGGAAACGGGCAGGAAACCCACCTGAGGGACAAGCACGTTCCAACTACGCCCAAGCAAACTCACTCCAAAATGACCCGACAGCGCAGGAGAGGCGGCCTGCCTCGCTAGCCCCGAACCCCCTGAAAGGGAAGGGGCACCCAATGCCACCGCAGGCCGCAAGAAACGACCCAAAATGCTCACAAATTATGGGACCAGGCATGGGTAAATAGCACGAGGCTCCCCCCCTCCCCATCACCCCGTCAATGGGACGAGAGCTAGAGAAGGGAAAAGAAATGTAAGACCGAAGCCAAATGGCCATGGGCGCACAAGTCCTCAGCAACCAGGGCAGCCAAAGGGAAGGAACCTACATGTGAAACTGTACCAGGCCAACATCTCAAGGAAGGGCAGGGGCAAACAAACATGCCCCCTAGGTAAACCTGAACAACTGCAAAGACCTTTCACCACTCAGATGTGCGAGACTGACAGAACGTATGCCATGCCCCTAACAAAAAGATAGGACAGTCTGCCAACCAGGACCACTCTGGAACCTCGTAATGCACCGAGCCAGGAAAGGAAGAACAAAACTCTAAAGAGGCAAGATCCATTATCGAGGTGTAATCCGTGTCTCGCAGGAGGTAAGCCGCAATGGCCTCCCACACCTTACGAGGCAGATGCGGGAGTCCGAAAACCTCCAGAAGGAAGGAGCTGAAGTACCCAAGGGAATCCGGAACCAAACCCGGGGAGGGGTTGATGCCATATCAAATTCATACAAGGAGGGGGGGATAAGAAAACGCCATTCCCTGTAGCAACAAGCCCTGCTCAGAGTGTACCAAAACCCAAGCGGGGGTCAAATAGAGCCCAAGCTCCCCAAGTCAGCCCCTCCCCTGCCCCGGGAACCTCCACAGCAGGACCCGGAGCCGAGCTGTCCTCCAAACCCTCCGCCTCAAAAGAAAGGGCAGAAGCCGCTGGAAAAGCTGGAACGAAAATGAAGGGGGCCCACTAGCCAGACCCAGAAACACCAGCTGGAGGAACGGGCTCGAATGCCTTCGTCTCCGCACCAGATGGGGCATCCCCCGAACTGCCCGAGTCTCACCACCAACTAAACCCTGCCCCGACTCCGAAACCCTCAGACTCTTTGGAGCCGGAAGTGGGGGGAGGGAAGGGATCAGGACGAACAACAGCAGGGAAAGGACCAGGAGGCATGGACGAAACCAAAGTCAAGGCAATTAACCCCCTCATGTCTTGGTCCCTATAACCAAAATGGGGCAGCCTTGAGGCATCCAGGTGAGCAACCAACCTAGTGCGCTGCAGCAACCTATAACGCACATGCAACAACGAAGCTGCCTGCACCCAAATATCATGGTCAGTGGACTGGGTGAACTGGAGTACAAGCAAGCAACACCACTCACAGGACTCCGGGTCAAAGTTATCACCGACCCAACAGGCAGAATGAGGGAGGCAGAACAGGTTATTGTCATCCTGAGACAAGGGGACAGGGCAACCCTCAAACTCACATGAAGCGAGATGGGACCCAGAGGACACATCCATCGGACCACTAAGCCCCAGTGGGATTTTTCTAGGGCCCTTAGATGCTCTGCTAAGGGAAGCCTAGGCAAGGTACTGCTAACCGGCGCCCCAAACTACCAAGCTAACTACTAAGAGCTGAATCCCCGGGACGTGTACACACATGGGGACCTAGCAGAGGACCACCAAGAATACAGAATGAACAGGGTCAACAACACCAAGGGCAGACCCTCCTCCAGGCAGAAAAAAAAAAAAAAAAACCTGCACGAGCACAATGTCACTAGGCAGAACAGAGCTGGCTGCTGTATTATGGTGAAAACAAGCTTCACAGTACTTTGTGCCCCTACCAGTGATGAAGCTACCTCCTACCCAGAGGCAAACAGGAGTGCATGAAACACCCCAGATGACTCCAAAGGCAGGCAATCACAGAGCAGCAAAAGACCATGGTGGAGGTAGATCCTGAGCAACTTGTGGAAGATAACATGAAGTCACAAGGGCAGTACTTACAGGGAACCTAGGGAAGAGAACCCTAAGCGCATGCAGCCCGAGTATCGGTGAAAATACTCCTGGCTTGCACACCACCACAGGACAGGACCACACCACAAGGCACAGCACTGGAACAAGTCTGGAGCCAGAGTCGCACGACCGCCACGTCTCACATCAGCCTCAGAACTGAAGGTGTGGATAGCTGGAGCGGGGGTCTGGGGCTCCCCTTTCCCCTTCCCGGGAAGGGGGGAGCTGAGCAGACAGCGGCGAAGTGACGGGTGTGATGTCATGCTCGTTTTTTTTTTGAGGGAGTTCTGTCCAACAGTTCGGCTTTCAGTAGCAATATTTTAACCAGATAGGGTTTGTTTTGGGGTGCCTACCTTTCTGGGTGCTTGACCCAGTCGATGGCAGACATAGAATGCTTCCAACCACACGGGGGTTTCTATAGGCTATTGCTCCTCGTGCCTATAAGAGGGGGGCCAGGTTCTGGCTTGTGGTCCCAGGTAGGCCTAGAACTCCATTCGCTTTGACTGATACCTGGGTCTAATACATTCATATCAGCCCGGATAGCTCCGGTGAACCGAAGGGGCTCCCCTTCGGTTCAAATTCAACTAATGAGGGAGACGACTGTACAGGAGAAGGAAAAAAATAACGGAAATGCTTCGGCAGACACAACTATCACAAGCAAGGAAAACAAGCCTAAGCAGGGAGATTGAGGAAATAGAACAAACGCTGAAGCGATCATATGAGTCTGAGGAAATGGAATTGGAACAGAAAGCTATACAAGAGATAAGGAAAAATCCGAAATATTTTTTCACATACGCAAAATCAAAATCAAAAACCTCGACCAGTATTGGACCGTTAATTACAAATGAAGGTACGTACACAGAGGACAACAAAGAGATTAGTGAAATTCTAAGAAGCCAGTATGAGGCTATGTTTAGCACACCAATAAACAACATGAAAGTTGATGACCCAGACAGCTTCTTTATGAATGACATTCAAGCTGCAGATAATATAACGGATATTACCACAAACTCGGAAGACTTTGAAAGAGAAATTGATAATATGCCTATGCACTCAGCTCCTGGGCCTGACTCATGGAATTCAATATTCATAAAGAAATGTAAAGTACCAGTAGCGAGAGCACTCAGCGGAATATGGAGAAAGAGCCTGGATACAGGGGAGATACCAGCAGCACTTAAATCTGCAGATATAGCTCCGTTGCACAAGGGGGGAGTAAAGCCTTGGCAAAAAATTATAGGCCAGTTGCACTAACATCACACATAATAAAAGTGTTTGAAAGAGTGATTAGGAATCAAATTTCTAGTTTTATGGAAAACAATGAATTGCACAATCCAGGACAACATGGATTTAGAGCGGGAAGATCCTGTCTGTCACAGTTACTCAACCACTATGACAAAATCACAGAAGCCCTAGAAGAAAAGCAAAATGCAGATGTTGTATACACAGACTTTGCAAAGGCGTTCGACAAATGTGACCATGGGGTGATAGCTCACAAAATGAGGTCAATGGGAATAACTGGAAAAGTAGGACGCTGGATACTCAATTTCCTGTCGAACAGAACACAAAGAGTAACAGTCAATCAGATAAAATCGAGTCCAAGCGATGTTAAAAGCTCTGTACCTCAAGGTACAGTCCTTGCACCGCTACTGTTCCTTATTCTCATATCTGATATAGACAAAAATACACGCCACAGCTTCGTGTCGTCCTTTGCAGATGACACAAAAATCAGCATGAAAATTACCTCTGCTGAAGACATTGAAAAACTACAAGCAGATGTCAACAAAGTTTTTGATTGGGCAGCAGAAAATAACATGATGTTTAACAGTGATAAATTTCAGGTACTCAGGTACGGCAAAAATGAGGATCTGAAACATAATACAGGGTACAAAACACAATCGAATCTTCCCATAGTAGAAAAACAGCATGTCAAGGATTTGGGAATAATGATGTCCGACGATCTAACGTTTAGGGAGCATAACCAAGCAAATATCGCGTCAGCCAGAAAAATGATCGGATGGATTACGAGAACTTTCAAATCCAGGGATCCCATCACAATGGTTGTACTCTTCAAGTCACTTGTGCTGTCCCGTCTCGAGTACTGCTCAGTACTCACTTCCCCCTTCAGAGCAGGAGAGATTGCTGAAATAGAGGGAATACAGAGAACATATACGGCACGCATAGACGAGATAAAACACCTAAATTATTGGGATCGTCTCAAAGCTCTCCAAATGTACTCTCTAGAAAGGAGACGAGAGAGATACCAAATAATATACACATGGAAAATACTGGAGGGTCAGGTCCCAAATCTACACAGTAAAATAACAACGTACTGGAGTGAACGATATGGAAGAAAATGCAAGATTGAACCAGTGAAGAGCAGAGGTGCCATAGGCACAATCAGAGAGCACTGTATAAACATCAGGGGTCCGCGGTTGTTCAACGTCCTCCCAGCGAGCATAAGAAATATTGCCGGAACAACCGTGGACATCTTCAAGAGAAAACTGGACGGTTTTCTAAGAGAAGTTCCGGATCAGCCGGGCTGTGGTGGGTACGTGGCCCTGCGGGCCGCTCCAAGCAACAGCCTGGTGGACCAAACTCTCACAAGTCGAGCCTGGCCTCGGGCCGGGCTTGGGGAGTAGAAGAACTCCCAGAACCCCATCAACCAGGTATCAACCAGGTATCCCTAGATAAGTCCTGAAATTTTATAGTGTCAATGTTTCCGAGCACAGGCATCAGTAAATGGATAATGAGGCACCTAAAATGGTGCAAATTCTTTTTAAGGGTGCCTAGGATGATAGCTAAGGCTTTCAGGATTTTTTCCAAGTATGCCAAATGAGTGCCAGAGGCCTCTAATGTAGAATCACAACCTCACAGAATATTCAAGAACTCTGAATATTGAGAGACACATTAGACCATTCACAACTTTAAGGCAATAGACTGGGAGGCCTACGAGGCAAGAACAGAGGACATTTGGACAGACAGATTTGTAAACCTTATCTTGGAGACATTCATGTATCAACACATCAAGCAGGCCACAAGAATGAGGGAAGGGGATGTTCTGTCAGTATTGGATCTAGTATTCACCAGGAAAGAAGAAAAGGTATTTGACATCCAGTACCTTCCTTCCTTGGGAAAGAGTGATCACGTCCTCTTGGACATTAAATACGCTATGCGATATAATCTAGTAGAGAACGGGAACAGTGAAACAGTTGTTAAACTCGATTTCAAGAGAGGACGCTATGGGGAACATAGAAATTTTTTTCAAGGGTATAATTGGACAGACTTGTTGCTAGGCAAGGAAGTAAATGAGATGTATGCCAAATTTTGCAAAATATACGATGAAGGCACACAAACATTCATACCAAAACAGACATACAGACCTAGGAAACAGGATTGGTTCAACAGAAATTGCGAGAGGGCCAGAGATCAAAAGACAAGCATGGAATCATTACAGAAAGAGACTAAACCCCCAAGCATACCAGTGATACAAAGATGCAAGAAACAACTACACGTCAGTAAGGAGAGAGGCAGAGAGGAACTTTGATTATGGTGTATTCCAGAGAACAGCATAGAGCACATAGAGGTGTCTAGAGACAAAGTGAAACAAATGCTCCTGGAGCCAAGAACAAAGCAGTTGGCCCACATGGAGCTTCACCATGGGTTCTGAGAGAATTGCAAGTGCACCTGAGTTCAGCATTCCACTTCAGCTGATTTTTCAGGCATCCCTGTGTACAGAAGTTGCAGCAGATGTGTGGAAAAAGACTAACATACTGTAGTTCCAATCTACAAAAGTGGCAGCAGGGAAGACCCCCTCAATTACAGACCTGTATCATTGACAAGTGTAAAAGTCAAAATATTGGAAAAAATAATAAAAACTAAATGGGTAGAACACCTGGAGAGAAATGATATAATATCAAACAGACAGTATGGTTTTCAATCTGGAAGATCCTGTATATCGAATTTACTCAGTTTCTATGATCGAGCAACAGAGATTTTACAGGAAAGAGATGGTTGGGTTGACTGCATCTATCTAGACCTAAAAAAGGCTTTCAACAGAGTTCCACATAAGAGGTTGTTCTGGAAACTGGAAAATATTGGATGGGTGACAGGTAAACTTCTAACATGGATGAAAAATTTTCTGACATAGAAAAATGAGGGCAGTAATAAGAGGCAATGTATCGGACTAGAGAAATGTCACAAGTGGAGTACCACAAGGTTCAGTTCTTGCACCAGTGATGTTAATTGTCTATATAAATGATCTACCAGATGGAATACAGAATTATATGAACATGTTTGCTGATGATGCTAAGATAAGAAACTTAGATGATTGTCATGCCCTTCAAAAAGACCTGGACAAAATTAGTATATGGAGCACCACTTGGCAAATGGAATTTAATGTAAATAAATGCCATGTTATGGAATGTGGAATAGGAGAACATAGACCCACTCAACCTATATATTATGTGAGAAAGCTTTAAAAAAAAATTTGATAAAGAAAGAGATGTAGGGTTGGTTCTAGATAGAAAACTGCCGCCTGAGGACCACATTAAGAACATTGTGCGAGGAGCCTATGCTACACTTTCTAACTTCAGAATTGCTTTTGCATGGATGGCGAAATACTAAAGAAATTGTTCACGACTTTTGTTAAGACCAAAGCTAGAATATGCAGCGGTTGTGTGGTTATCTTGAGGTTATCTTGAGATGATTTCGGGGCTTTAGTGTCCCCGCGGCCCGGTCCTCGACCAGGCCTCCACCCCCAGGAAGCAGCCCGTGACAGCTGACTAACTCCCAGGTACCTATTTACTGCTAGGTAACAGGGGCATTCAGGGTGAAAGAAACTTTGCCCGTTTGTTTCTGCCTCGTGCGGGAATCGAACCCGCGCCACAGAATTACGAGTCCTGCGCGCTATCCACCAGGCTACGAGGCCCCTATGGTGCCCATATCTTAAGCACATAAACAAACTGGAAAAGGTGCCAAGACATGCTACTAAGTGACTCCCAGAACTGAAGGGCAAGAGCTACGAGGAGAGGTTAGAGGCATTAAATATGCCAAAACTAGAAGACAGAAGAAAAAGAGGTGATATGATCACTATGTACAAAATAGTAACAGGAATTGATAAAATTGATAGGGAAGATTTCCCGAGACCTGGAACTTCAAGAACAAGAGGACATAGATTTAAACTAACTAAACAAAGATGCCAAAGAAACATAAGAAAATTCACTTTCGCAAATAGAGTGGTAGACGGTTGGAACAAGTTAGATGAGAAGGTGATGGAGGCCAGAACCGTCAGTAGTTTCAAAGCGTTATATGACAAAGAGTGCTGGGTAGACGGGATACCACGAGTATAGCTCTCATCCTGTAACTACACTTAGGTAATTGCAAATAACAGGAGCACCATGGGTATATCATCTGAGAATGACAGGAGCACCATGGGTCTATCATCTGAGAATGACAGGAGTAGTTTAAGGATTAAATAAATAAATAAATTCTAAGACAGTACTATCTAAAAATTTTAATTTACCTTCCTAGTTCTTGTTATTTTTTTCTGATTCATCAAAAAGTGGCAATAATCTATCCATACACGGGGCATCTTGTGCATGAATACCAAGGCACGTTCGAAAGTGTTGTTAACACTCTCGAACTCTGGATCCGTGATGCAGCGACCTTTTACCTGCTGCATTCGTAATCTGAAAAGTTAAATAAATTATACAAGTCTGCAACCAAAATAATGAATTATAGATATATATATAATAATATATATATATATATATATAATATTATATATATATATATATATATATATATATATATATATATATATATATATATATATATATATATATATATATATATATATATATATATATATATATATATATATATATATATATATATATATATATATATATATATATAATATATATATATATATATATATATATATATATATAGTACAATACTTATACTGGTATAGAGTATATACAAATAGGTGAGTACACACAATTAAACTTTGTTTTATATCTGTTTGTCTAGACAATATGCCTACCTTAGATACTGGTGCCAAAGTTTGTAACTCCCAGGCATTTGCAGCAATGATCTTTCATAGACCTTGTTAAGCTGTTCAGATGCAGCATCTTTTTTGTGTTCTATGTACCGTTGCCAATGTTTTACTGAAAAAGGGTTTCGGAGAAGTTCTTCTTCATATTGTAGATCATCCGTTTCCTGTAATAAACATATACAATACATTACCTGTACAAAAGTATGAAGAGAGCCAAGGTACATTGACTGGTCTGAAAAGTGGCTCATGTTCAAATATAACAAATACAGAGATATGAAGGGTGTATGCAGGAGAAAACCAGCGCTGAATGTAATGAAACCACTGTCTGGTTGAAAAATGTGAGCTATGTCCTCAAATAACAAAAGAACGCCCCAAAAAAGAAAAACAAGCAACATGTCATCCAACTAGGCATATAGCTCTAATCTAGAAGGACAGAAGTATTTGGGGAACGTTTTCTTTCACCTGATGCCTCAGTTCACCTAGCCATATACAGTGGCACCTCGACTTACGATTGCCCCTACTTACGATAATTTTGAGTTACAAATTCCTTTATTTCTTATGGGAAAAATCTCTTCGACTTACGATCCGTCTCTGGGAACGGATTAGCATCGTAAGTCGAGGCCCAGTGCATAGGTACCCCAGGAAATTGACAACCATCGTGGGTTACAACCAAGGTAAGGCCAGTACTGTTTATGACCTAGGAGGGTGGGTGAGGATCAAGATAGGCCTAACATTCTTCCTGTCCCTGATTATAATAATAATAATTTATTCACAAGAAGGTACAATGGGTTGATAATATTACATAAGATTGGTACTTTTACATTCATGCAAAACCACTAACACGCATAGCATTTCGGGCAGGTCCTTAATCTAATACCGTATATCAGGCAAGATGGAAAGGTACATTGTAGCAAGGTTTAGCAAGGTTTATATCAACAAATAACTACAATATAAATTGACAAGAGGTGATTACACTGGTGAAAATATGTCTTAAGTACTAACATTGGGGAAGTGGGCGGTACAAGACAGTGTGAGTCCGAACCACATGGTAGGAAACTATGAGGATGAAATTAGGTAATGTTTGGTTTAATTTTGAATAAGGTATAGGTTGGACAATTTTTTAATTCATCAGGGAGTGAGTTCCATAGACTGGGTCCCTTTACTAGCATGGAGTGTTTGCACAGATTTAGTGTTACTCTGGGGATATCAAAGATGTTTATTTCTGGTCTGGGGCTCATGGGTTCTATTACACGTATCAAGGGCAGTCCGTCTAATTACCACAAGCTACCACAAGCTTCACAAAGCTTCCTGGCAATATGTTAGTAATGAATAAATATGATATATTTACTCATTATAATGTTGGTGCTGAATGTACAACACGAAAAAACAATTTTAATCTGAAAAAGTATCTTTTTATAAAGAAATTAGACAAAAATAAAGAGCTGGTGACGCCAAATCAAGTCGACAATCCAAGCGTAGGTTAGGTTAGGTTAGGTTAGGTTAGGTTAGGTTTGGTTTGGTTACGTCAGCCTAACCTATAATATTTATTCATTACTAACGTATTGCCAGGAAGCTTTGTGTAGCTTGTGGTAGCTTGCGGTAATTAGACGGACCCATCAAGGGAAACGTTTCTGATCAAGATTAGCATTTAGGAACAAGGTTTTGTACATGTAGAAAGCACATGAGAATGTGTAGCGTGAGTGTATGTTCAGCATGCTAAGGGACTTAAACAGAGGGGCTGTGTGTTGTCGAAGGCAGAGTTTGTTATAATAACATAATAAGTTTGTTATTATGGGAACCCAAACAAAAAATTACTTCACAAGTCACTGCCACTTTACTCACCAATAAATAACTACCATACTCACAATAATTAACGTTGGCGCATCCATTATCATGTTAAAGAATTCGTTAATCTAAATCTTTCTTACTATTTTGATATATACTGTACACATAAGCAAGTTACACTCATAGGCTCCGCAAAATTACAAACTTCATAGGCTCCGTTCTACTGATGTTGTCAACAAACGTCCCGACCCCATCCAGCGAACACACGCCATCAAGTAGCAGCAAACAGACTCGGCGCACACCACTGACAACGATCGTGCTGGAGCCAAAAAACCAATAACAAAATATTGATATAGCAAGTATATACTATGTCTAAAGCTAATAGTACGTACAGCATTTCAGGCAAGATGAGGAAAAATAAACTTAAACATTAAGACAAAACTAATTGAGATTAAAAGCATGAAATGAACTAAGTAGAACAAATTTACAGTGATTACACGTTGAATGGAGTAGCAGAAATTGTAACAGAACAGCAGATAGTAGTTTTAATTAAATAAACAGATGGAATATCAAGTTTATACATGACATATATCAGCAGTTTTACAAGTTGGTCATTAAGATACAATTCTGTAACAAATGTTCCAAAGATGTGTAAATATTTCATTCAAAATGATCTGCTACCAGAAATCTTCCAAATATCACCAGTTTGGTAACTGTAGGTAGTAACTGAGTGATTGTATCCTATCCACCGCTGCCCACTGGATGGGGGGCGGTGGATAAGACTAGGGAAAGGATAGGTCCATTAAAAACTGAGACAGGTCAAATAACAGAGAGTGATGAAGAGAAGAGTAGTATTTTTAATAAATATTTTGTATCTGTATTTACTAAAGAGGAACTTAACAATATGCCTTCAGCCGAACAAGTCTATGTGGGTGGGGACGAGGACAGGTTGACGAGTTTAACAGTTACCAGGGAGGATGTTCTTAAACAAATAGTAAAACTCAAACCAAACAAATCCCCAGGGCCAGATGAAGTGTTTGCCAGAGTGCTTAAAGAATGCAAAGAGGAGCTTTGTGACCCACTGTCAACCATATTTAATAAATCAATAGAGTCAGGCAGAGTGCCAGAGTTTTGGAAAGTTGCTTATGTGATACCAGTTTTTAAGAAAGGAGATAGATCACTTGCGTCTAACTATCGACCAATTAGCCTAACGTCTATTGTGGGAAAGTTACTCGAATCTATAGTAGCAAATAAAATTCGTCTTCATCTTGAAAAACATAAATTAATAATTGAGTCGCAACATGGTTTTATAAATGACCGTTCATGTTTAACAAATTTGTTATCTTTTTATTCTAGCATAGTTGAGGCAGTTGATAGTGGTAAGGATTGTGGTGTTGTGTACCTTGACTTTAGCAAAGCTTTTGATACAGTGCCACATGAAAGACTGATTAAAAAGATAGAGTCTCATGGTATTGGGGGTGCTATATTAAGCTGGATTAGGGCATGGCTATACCAAAGGAAACAGAGTTAGTATAAATGGAATCAAGTCAGAGTGGGAAAATGTTGTAAGTGGAGTGCCTCAAGGCTGTCCTGGGACCTCTGTTGTATATAATATATATAAATGATTTAGATTCAGGTTTGAGTAGCAACATTTGCAAATTTGCCGATGATACGAAAATCGGTAAGGAAATTAATTCGGAGGAGGACTCACTATCACTTCAAGTTGATCTAGATAGGGTTTTGAAATGGTCAAAGGATTGGCAGATGCAGTTTAATGCTGATAAATGTAAAGTTCTGAGGTTAGGTAATGATGATAGAGTTACAAGATACGAGCTAGATGGTGTTGAGATTGCGAAGTCGGATTGCGAAAGGGATCTGGGAGTTATGATTAATAAGAATTTAAAATAAAAGGATCAATGCATAAATGTTCGTAATAAGGCAAATCGGACACTTGGATTTATTAATCGCAGCGTTAGTAACAAGACACCTGGTGTGGTTCTCAAGCTATATCTTGCTCTAGTTAGGCCCCATTTAGATTATGCAGTTCAGTTTTGGTCGCCATATTATAGAATGGATATAAATTCACTTGAACGTGTCCAGCGTAGGATGACTAAGTTAATTCCCCAAATTAGAAATCTTTCATATGAAGAAAGATTAACAAAGCTTAAGTTGCATTCACTGGAAAGGCGAAGAGTTAGGGGTGACATGATAGAGGTTTACAAGTGGGTGAATGGACATAACAAAGGGGATATTAAAAGGCAAACAAAAAGGCCCACGCAGGAGCCAGGGAAAACATAAAAACCACACCCACACACAAGCACACCCAAACGAACACACACCCACAGGAGCCAAAACAACCACACACACACACACCATCCAACAGGCCCAACTGGACCCCAAGATCATTTAAACCACGAACATGCAAAGACGCACAGACAACAGAGGGCGCCATCGGGAGAACCTCAGGACACCCCCAACCCAACGCGTCCCCCAGGGGACACAACCGCACCCGCAGCGGGAGCCACATCCACACCACCAGGCTCAACCCCCTGCCGCACCCTGGAAGACGACCGGCCAGGAACCGCCTTCAAAATCACAGGAGACACACCATGCGAAGAGGGTGCCCCAGGCGTCGAGGACACCATCCACAGTTTTTCCCCTGCCTCCGCCGCCCCGAGCCCGACACCACGCTCAATGCCCCGCTCATCCCCAGATCCCGCTTCCGAAGGGGGAGGAGGAACCACTGGAGAAGCGGAGGGAGGAGCACCAGCCAAAGGCACACCACCCGAAGCCTCGATCCTCTTCCCAGGGGGGCCCCTGCTGTGCGACCGATCCCTCGGAGCGCGCTTTCGTCGAGGAACAGAAGAGCCCAATGCAACCACAGGAGGCACAGCACAAGCGACAGCAGGCGGCTGCGCCACGGCACCAGCATCAGGAACACCGCTAGGCTGGCCGTCAGGAGACACAGTAACAACACCGCCCCTGGCCTCGGGAAGCACACTGGCCACTGCACACGGGTCGCCCGCAGGCACCACACCACACACGTTGGATTCCAAGGAGACACTCGGGTCGCGATGTACCTCCGCCGCCACCAGCAGAGGCGCACCCGAAGCAGGAGCCGCGAGAGCACCAGAGTCAACAGACAGAGTAGAGGACCCAGCAGCAGACGGAGAGGTAGGGACAGCTGGGGACGAGGCCTCCAGAGGCACACCCACAGAGCCCGGGCCCACTGGGGGCGCCCCAGCCTCCGGCAGAAGTGGAAAATCATCCGCATGGAAAACCGATGGGTCCTCCGGGCGAGGGGCACGGCAAGCTGCAGCGAAATGGCCTACCTCACCACACCGGAAACAGGAGCGAGTCTGCCCCTGGTAGAACACACGCACATAAAACCCACACACAGCCACCCGAGAGGGAATAGCCCCAGAGAGCCGCATGCGCAAAGTACGGGCACCCATACGGAGCCCCTTCAGGCGCCCACTAAGCAGACAGGCATGACGCTGCCCCACCACCTCACCATACCGACGGAACGCGGCGGACAGCTCATCCTCAGGAAACTGCACCGGCGCACCATGAACGCTCACATACGTCAGGGGGCCCCACGGATCGGAGACCTCCACCGTCACAGCAGAACCTGGAAGTACATGCGTCCGTGTACCCCATCGACGCACAAACAGCTGATACACCTGCGCCGAGGAGAACGTCACCGCCACCCGGGTAGGGGAAAGTTTCTCAACACCGTAGAGATCTTGGTACTCCACACGCATGACGTCCATAAGGGCAACCTCCACCAAGGGCCAGTCAACGGGGGCCGAGAAATCAAGCTGGGCGGTGTCGACCCGGCGAACACGGCCACCACTAGTCGACGCCATGACACCCGCCAGGCCCCGGCCAATGGCCGCACCACACCGTCAACAAGACGACCACCACGCAGCAGTTACAGGTCAACACTGACAGCCCGGGCCGAACGTCAGCGCCCTCCGGTAGCATTGTTGAGGCAGTTGATAGTGGTAAGGATTGCGATGTTGTATACCTTGACTTTAGCAAAGCTTTTGATACAGTGCCACATGAAAGACTGATTAAAAAATAGAGTCTCATGGTATTGGGGGTGCTATATTAAGCTGGATTAGGGCATGGCTATACCAAAGGAAACAGAGAGTTAGTATAAATGGAATCAAGTCAGAGTGGGAAAATGTTGTAAGTGGAGTGCCTCAAGGCTCTGTCCTGGGACCTCTGTTGTTTATAATATATATAAATGATTTAGATTCAGGTTTGAGTAGCAACATTTGCAAATTTGCCGATGATACGAAAATCGGTAGGGAAATTAATTCGGAGGAGGACTCACTATCACTTCAAGTTGATCTAGATAGGGTTTTGAAATGGTCAAAGGATTGGCAGATGCAGTTTAATGCTGATAAATGTAAAGTTCTGAGGTTAGGTAATGATGATAGAGTTACAAGATACGAGCTAGATGGTGTTGTGATTGCGAAGTCGGATTGCGAAAGGGATCTGGGAGTTATGATTAGTAAGAATTTAAAACAAAAGGATCAATGCATAAATGTTCGTAATAAGGCAAATCGGACACTTGGATTTATTAATCGCAGCGTTAGTAACAAGACACCTGGTGTGGTTCTCAAGCTATATCTTGCTCTAGTTAGGCCCCATTTAGATTATGCAGTTCAGTTTTGGTCGCCATATTATAGAATGGATATAAATTCACTTGAACGTGTCCAGCGTAGGATGACTAAGTTAATTCCCCAAATTAGAAATCTTTCATATGAAGAAAGATTAACAAAGCTTAAGTTGCATTCACTGGAAAGGCGAAGAGTTAGGGGTGACATGATAGAGGTTTACAAGTGGATGAATGGACATAACCGGGGGGATATTAATAGGGTATTAAAAGTATCAACACAGGACAGAACACGAAACAATGGATATAAATTGGATAAGTTTAGATTTAGGAAAGACTTGGGTAAATACTGGTTCAGTAACAGGGTTGTTGATTTGTGGAACCAATTGCCGCGTAACATTGTGGAGGTGGGGTCCCTCGATTGTTTCAAGCACGGGTTGGACAAGTATATGAGTGGGATTGGGTGGTTATAGAATAGGAGCTGCCTCGTATGGGCCAATAGGCCTTCTGCAGTTACCTTTGTTCTTATGTTCTTATGTTCTTATGTCCCAAGAGACCCTGGTTTCCGAACAGGGAGGACAACGGCATCGAGCTAGTCCTCAGGGACTGACGACGACTCCCAGATCCGATTATACATACT